CACTGCAGGTGAGTGACCTCTGTATTGGTACAGGTTTGTTTTGATTTTTGAAAGGTCATTGAGATATCGATTTTATATCACTTTGTGAGGACTCAGTTGTTGTGTGCCTGAACGTGACACACGTCAGTTTAAAACTGGAGTTAAGTGATGAAATTTGATCAAGATGTGCAAAGACACAGCAATCTGTGTGTGTGTGTGCAAACAGTGTGTTCCTGAGTGTGTGTTTCAATAATGAACACACGCACATCCAGCTGTACACAGAGCTGAGCCCTACTTTGATTGGTTACAATCGGCACCTCGTGATTGGCTCCTCTGTGACGAGATAGGTTAGCAGAAGTGTGTCTCAGGGATGTGTGTGTGTTGCTCTGACAGAAGCATCAATCAGTGTAATGACCTTCATCGTCCTCTGTGTTTATGTCTCAGCGTCCTCAGCTCAGATGGGTCTGATCGAGACGACTCGGGGGCTGCTGCCGGGGGCAGGTGAGACATGCTGGTCACACGCACACCTGCAGAGTACAAAGTGAGGAAGAGGAAAAGTGAAGGAGCAGGGAGCGGTTAAGAAGAATACATACTTTATTCATCCTGTGAATGGAAATTCAGTTTTACACTATGTAATTGAACATGCTTCTCACATTCATAGGCTGAAATACACACATGCACAAACAGTTTCTTACACACATGTACTAATGAAGAGATGTCAGAGTGAGCTCTGGGGGGGGGGTGTCTTGCTCAAGGGCACAGCAACAGTGGAAGTGAATTAGCACTTCTCAAGCGAGGTACGACTTGAACGGGCAACCCTCTGGTCCCTACAGACTGAACTACTCCTGCCCCCTAACCTTCACCTGGTTTGTCTTGCAGGTGGCAGTCAGCGTCTACCCAGGACAGTCGGCATACCTCTGGCCAAAGAGCTCATCTTCACAGGTGGAGACACAGAAATATCTCTGAAATACGTATTACTGAAACACCACTAAAACATAATTGAAACAAAACTGAAACATCATTTTAAACATTAATAAAACATTACTGAATCAATACTAAAATAAGACTCAAATATTGTTGAAACTTTACTCAAACATTAGCCTACCAAATTAATCCCCCACCCACTCTCTCTCTCTCTCTCTCTCTCTCTCACTCTCAGGAAGGTGTGTGGACGGGTCTCAGCTCTTCAGATGGGTCTTGTGAACAGATCAGTGGATCAGAATCAGACAGGAGATGCTGCCTACAGAGAAGCTCTGAGCCTGGCCAGAGATCCTCCCCCAGGTCATTCAGACACACAAACACACACACACACACACACACACACACACACACACACACACACACACACACACACACACACACACACACAGCTTCAAGGCCAGAGATCAAGTTGAGTTGAGAAAACACACCAACAGGACCTAGACTGTATAACACATAGACGTAGTCTCACTGGTTGGTTTCTGAAGAGGAGGTATGAAGCCCTGTGTGTGTGTGTGTTTCTCTCTCCAGGCCCCTCTGGCGGTGGGACTGGCTAAAGAGGCTATAAACAGAGGGATGGAGGTACGTCATGACTCACCTGTACTTCTTATTTCTGTTTCTCAGTCATGTGACCGTCTCTGTGTCTTAACAGGTAAACATGAGTTCAGCCATGGCCATCGAGAGGATGTGTTACGCTCAGGTGAGACTGCACAACTTTAAAGTTCCTATAAATCAAAATCAGAAAGTGGTGTCTAAACACAGTAAATATGTGGGGAAAAAGTTTCTGAATGGTCCGGTTGACACACTGGGGATCATTAGCATAACCCAGCCCCCTACAGCAAAACAAAGCTGCGTATGTTTAGTAACTGATGATCTCCATCTCAATGTCCCTAAGACAAAATAATTCATAATTAGTCCCCTTCTCATTAATACCCAAACAACGGAAATAGTTGACAGATTCAAATACCTTGGAGTGACACTAGACAACCACCTCAGTTTCTAACAGCCCACTAGTGACAATCCAAAAAATCAAAGACCGTCAGCCATCCGCAAACTCAAAGGACTTTATGTTGCCCCCCATCTCCTCCTGCTGCTATATCAGAGCATGATCCAGCCTATCCCATTGATTGTTACACCTGCTTCTTCAACATGATATGTTAAAAACAAGGCCAAACTCACACGCATCACAACCACAGCTGCCAGAATATTTGGTCTCCCCACACCAACCTAACAGAACTCAACAACAGAGCCATCACAAGCATTGTAACCTCAATAGAACAGGACATCACACACCCACTGAACACCCACCCCACTTCCCTCAGGACGGAGGTAAAGAGCACTGAAGCCTGATCCCTGCGGTTATAGCTGCCCTAAACAAAAGGACCCGCTAAACAGGCCAGAGTGGGAACTCTTGATTGTTGTTGAACTCTGTTTGTGTTATACACTGTGTTCTGTGTATGCACTGTTCTTTGGTGGGAATTGTCTGATGGACAGAAACAGGGCTGGGAATTTCCCAATGGGGACAATAAAGTCATCCTCTGTAAGTCAAAATGTGACAAATTTTAATCACACGCTTATCTTTACCATGAGTGTGCGTACTTTCAGCACATTCTTCAGATAAGCCCACAGCATCCCAGAGCCTAGATTACTGCCAAATTTGTCATGATTTTAAAACTTCCATTTTTTTTCATGACTGAGATCATTCTTCTGTTTTATAACAAACATAAAATACTTTTTTATTTTGTTGCTTTACACGTCCTAGGTGATCCCAACACGGGACAGACAGGAGGCATGGCTGCTTTCATAGAGAAGAGACCCCCACGATACACTGGAGAGTGAACACACAAACACACACACACACACACGCACAGAGCTCACATTAATGTGAGCACATGTTGAAGGTCAGAGTGTTGAGGAGGAAGTGTTATTGATCGAAGAGCTGTAACGCCATTTTTGAACTGATTCTGATTGTTTATTTTCACATGAATTTGATGTTTGTAATAAAAGTTCACTGACACACGTTGTCTCCACTTTATCAGAATGTACATTCTTTATTTCAGGACTTTAATCACACTCAGCATATGACACACACACACACAGCCTGAATTAACTGGTCTTCATTATCATTATCATCACCACCACCACCATCATAAGGGGGGCTCCTCTACATGATCCATCCTATGACACCATCTGAGCTGTTTACCTGTGATGACATCAGAGCTGCTGATCATCTCTGATATCATCTTCATCCACTCACAGACATGTTACCTGTCTCACCTGTTCTTCCTGCTGTCACCATGCCAGAGTGTTACACTTTGATATGACTCTAACACAGTAACAAACGAAAGCTTAAGTTTTAATTATCAAAAATTGCTAATCTTAATCCCACACGTTTGCAAAGATTCCCTTCTGAAATTTTTGCAACTGTTTTGTGCAATTTAGACAGTGCAGGTGTTTTCTTGCAGTTTTTGATGGATTAATTCCTCTCCTACACATCTGTTTTATTCATAGATGTAGTTTTCTGATACTAGATCATATAACAGATTATATCATTTTAAAACAGGTGGTATCAAAAGTATCGAAGTATGAAACATTTCGACAACCTGTACCGTCATACAGAATAAAGGGATGTAGTAAGCAAAGACTAGCTTACTACGCTATACCTGATATTTCAATTAAGAATGTATCGGGTGTTTCTGATACAAGTATAGCTGATCAACTACACCCTGCCCTCCTCTCTTCTTTTTTCAGAAACAATAGAGTTTTTTTACATGCATCCTAAACAAACACATTATTCACTTTTATGTACAGATAACACATTCTTTAACATGCAGCTACCTACAAACACACACACGCGCAGTGCTGCCTGTGTAAGATATGACACAGCGGACAAACACACTATGACTCAGTAATAAAGTACATCCATAATGATGAGGACCTCAGCATCATCTCTGTCTGTATTCAGAGGATGTTTACATTTAACCATACAAGTTTTTTTCCTATGACTTTGTTTCATCCTTAATGACAGCGTCTCCTCACAACAAGCTGTGTGTGTGTGTGTCAGCAGCTCTGCGAGTTAAAGCGTAGTCTAGTTTGAACATATTTTCTTATTCAGGACAGAGTTTACGCTCTACGAACATTTGAGGTGTTTCACCATCTGAGATAGTTCTAGCGCAGGCAGAAAGTTGCACCTTAAATCTTACAACTAGCTCTTAGGAAGTGTGATGTCCTCCATAAAGTCCGGTTGTCATGGTGATGGTTTAGTAAAGGTGAACTTGGAGGAGTAGCAGACACTTTTACTGGCTGTTTGGTGTCAGTGTGTTTTCGTTGATGGATTACATCCCTCAAATGTTTGATGACCCAGATAATGTCATCCATCCAATAAGAGGACTGCTCAATGACCTTTTGTTGTAATTGAAGATTTTAACACTAGATGTCACTGTTGTCATTTGACAATTTGAAAGTCTGTAGGCTTTAGTTATCACCTCATCCTAATGCTTTGACATATGACAAACATTTGAGTTTGTGGATTATTGTCAGTCAAGTTATTTTCAGCCGTTAGTCTGTTCAGAGGCAATTATACATGAGAGGAAACACTGGAACAAACACTGCATTAAGAAACATGCTGCTAAGTTCAAACCTAATTTCTGACACAATATTTTGTGGACATTACGCTCTACAAGTAACAGATGAACCTTATGTCTCGGTGGTAACCAACTCAAGATACAACCTAAGTAGTTTACACGTAGGGTTCAGTGAGGACTTGACACCACTACTTATGACAACTCACACACAGCTGCTGACACAGGAAGCAGCTGAGTAAAGTGGAAGGGGCTGCACACAGTTTGATTATATCTAATCAGCTGATCCTCATCATCATTGTGCCAAAACCAACAGGTAAAAACTTGACTGACCCAAAGTTCTTCTGATCATATCAGTTCTTATCACACACACTTTTTGTTTTGTTACAACCACAGAGAAATAAATAAAGTTTGTGTGTGTGTGTGTGTGTGTGTGTGTGTAAAGAATCAGTCTTTCTTCTTTCAGAGATTCTTGATAAAAGTGTGTATGTGCATGATGAACACACAAGAGTCCTGCGTTCGTCCTGCTCTGACAGACAGATCTACAGCATGATGAGTCTGATGCAGCAGAGGTTCTCTCTGTGATGTCACTGGGTGGCGGCAGGTGGCGGCTGCAGTGTGTGTGTGCGTGCTGGCCAGTGCGTGCTTGGTGGCGCTGCAGACTCTCCAGGATGCTCCCGCCAGCAGACGGACGTCTTTGTGTGTCTGTGGGTGTGTATGAACCAGCTCCAGCTGCTGCAGACCTCCCTCTTCCAGCAACATGCTGCAGTACCTCGCGGCTATGCACACAAACGCACAGTCAAAAACACAAACACACACAAGGGAGCAATATGAAATATGTAAGGGGAAGGGGGGAATGAGCTAACAAAGTGGAATGAATCAAAATAATAAATTAACGACTTCTGTGTGTGTGTGTGTATGTGTATTCACCATTCTTGCTGCAGACATGCTGCATGGCCCAAGCCGCCCACAGCTGAACTCCTGGGGTGTGAAAACACTCGAGCAGGGGAAAGAAAGGGTTAAAGGACCTGCACAACAACAACAAACAACCACATGTCAGACTGAGGGTCACATGATCACTACTTTCTCTGGCATCACCGTTTATTTAGTGCAGAGGATGCTCTCACCTGTACGCCACCATCTCACAATCAGGAGGGGCCACTTAGTGATGACAGCGTGCTGAGGAGACACACACACACACACACACACACACACATACACACACATACAACACTAAAATATAAAATATTTTCGGTATCTTCCTTTTATGATAATCTGGTCCTTTTCTGTGACTTTTGAACATTTTTAAATATTTAATTAATTTACAAACATGTGATTCTTTGGCTTATGTTTCTGCAACAATTATCTCTTTATCTGTAAACCTGTAGCTGTAAACCTGTAGCTGTAAACGTGTAGTCTGTGAACATGTAGTCTGTGAACATGTAGTCTGTGAACATGCAGTAAGTGAACATGTAGTCTGTGAACATGTAGTCTGTGAACATGTAGTCTGTGAACATGTAGTCTGTGAACATGCAGTAAGTGAACATGTAGTCTGTGAACATGCAGTAAGTGAACATGTAGTCTGTGAACATGTAGTCTGTGAACATGTAGTCTGTGAACGTGTTGTGAGTGAACATGTAGTCTGTGAACATGTAGTCTGTGAACATGTAGTCTGTGAACGTGTTGTGAGTGAACATGT